GAACACACAGCTGCAGCTTCTTAGGGGAAGTAATATTTTGAGCATGGAGATCCAAAGACTTCCTACCTAAATAGCTCACAGGACTGTTTCTTGAGAAAAATCAGTTTGTTTTTTTTTTTTTAAATCCCAGTTTTAAAGATAAACATTTTTATCGCTAACAAAAGTGACTTGGGGCTCCTCATGGATTATTTTTTAATTCAAACCACTGAGAACTGCACGCATCAGGATTAACATCCAGTTTGTTGTAGTCTAGAACTGTGCCATGTGATACTGGAATGATTTCAGTATTCCAAGTTTTGCCCTACCACAGTCTTACAAATTAAGTCTACATTTGTCTTCTGAATCTTACGAAAATTAGTTTATTACCTCATAAGGTCACATTCATGTTCTTAATATTGGTGGTTCCTCAGCAAGACTTCACATTTTAAATGATTTACAGATACTTAGTTCACTTTTAAATTAAATAGAATTTCATTCTACTTATTCCCTTATTTGGACATTTATTTATTTATTATTAATTATATTAATAATAAGGAGACCTTATTACCTCCTAGAGTCCCAAGTGTTTCTGTAGAATCTAGGTGCCAATTTTCCTACAGATGAAGATGACTTTCTCAGTGCAAGATGATTTCTGATTTACTGGCAGCACCAGTAACAGTATGAGTGACTGAAACAAGAAATCTAGCACAGGCTTTGGATCTCATGCTTAATACATTCATTAAGGTTATGAGACTGGGAAGAAACAGCACATGTGATCAATGTGATTAACACGTCCTTCCAGAAGTTATCTGTGGGTGGGAAAGCCCATCTTCCACTGCAAGGGCACCTCCTCCACCACATGTACTTGAACCAGAATCTGAACAGCCCAGCACAAGCAAAAGCTGACACCGGAGAACCCAGAAAATTAATTCTGGTGAGTTTACCAGGCCCAGGAAACACAGAGAGAACTGACCTAGAGGCTCCAGAGAATAGTCTGGCTTCACCAAGATCCAGAAATTCCCTCTAGATGTTTAAAAAAAAAAAAGGGGGGGGGGGGGGAAGAGATCTTTTAGTTTCAACATGCAATTGTATTGGGTTTTCTATTGCCAGAGCTGCTGACAGTACTAAAACTATTCCCCTCCCCGCCCCCAAATGAAACAATCTTGGCAACAAGGCTCAGGAATCTTGACTCCCTCTTGCTATAAAGTGGAAAGCCTCTCTACTGAGAGGGGAAATGCTTAACAGCATTGTCGCAGGTAATTTTTTTTTTTTCATTCATGAGATGATCCAGCTGCAGGAAAGTAGGATGATATATCGCTCGCCCTCTGTTTTGAATACTTGTAATTATTTGCATACCACAAATATGAGGGTTAAGTGTGTAGGACAGAAACATGGAGAGGTACCAGTTCAGTTTTCCATCCTTCACAGTGATGAAACTGCTCGTTGATTACTAGCCAAATTTCACTAACTTTCTCAGAAATCCCAACAGAACCTCCCCAAACCTGAAATATCTTTGTGTTTGATTTGCTTGGTAAGACACTGAAGAATATGTTTTTGCTATTTTTATATTCACCTCTGCAGGAAACACTGGACAGGCCATGCAAGAGCTCCTTAGAAACAACACATTGTTATCGTAAGTCCAATTCAGATTCTTAAGATTTCATAGTACTCGGAGTCAATCTGTTGACATGTATGTGATCAGAGAGCCATGGCAGTGCCATACATGCATTTGAGCTGCAACTTATTTCACGTTTGAAGGAATAACAAAACCAAAATGCTAGCTGTCATTTTGTGAAAAAAAATTACATAAAGTCTGTTAAATGTTCTACCCTTTCAGGTGCTGTGACTCCTGTTTGCTTTCTCAAAGAGGGGGAAAGCAATTCTAGCACAAGTATTCTCTCTGTAACTGTTAAAATACATTCAAGAAGTAGTCACAGACAGTGTGGGGTTTTTACAGCAGTGTTTCCTGGGCCTCCTTCTTGACACCGCTATGCAGTGCATGCTGTTATTATGAACTATACAGCCCAGGTGCAATTCTGGTGAAACCTGCCAGAGATAAGAGCCACAACAACCCTCTTTATGTTGTTCTGTTCTAGTTGCTGCCCATTAGGAACAGACAGGAAGGGTGTAGAACAAGAAATGGGATGAAGCAGGATTTGATACCTTACAGTGGAAAACAGAAGAGAAGAAAAAAGAGAAAAGATCCCAACAGCCAAGATACCCCATGGATTTGGCTGAAACATTCTGTGGCTGCTCTCCCCACCCCAGCCCGTTCTGAGTCCGTGCAGCAGTAATATCCAACCGCTGCGTTTTATCTTCATGGAATCAGTGACTAACAAGTATGGAAAATGGAAACAAGCTCATGCTCTCTAAATAGAGCTGAAATACAGTGTAGGTGGGGTTTACACAGAATTAACTGAGCTTTCCCAAAAAAAAGCCCAGAGGTTGCTGAGCTAAGTAACCGACACTGAAGTTAAGCCTCCTTTCATTTTGTGCATGCATGTGCAGGTCGTGTTAAAGATGGAAGACTGCACAAATTTGGTACCACCTGGAGGACCAAAGGCATGCTTCCAATGTCAGTGCAGCCAGAGCGGGGTCCACTGTTGCATCATGTAAGTTCCACAAAGCCAGAGGCTCTGGCGGCAAGAACTACAGCAACGCTCCCATCCGCCACCCTTCCTATAGCTAACTCGTTAAGTCATGCCTCCATCAAAAAGTCTTTACTTTTTCACAGACTTATGATCTTCATTTGTTTAATCACCTGCAGGGTCGGGATAACAAGCTGTGTTTGGAATCACTGTGCTTTCTCATTTCTGGAATAAACTTTTCTGTCATTTTTTGGTTCACTGAAGATTTCTAAGATCTTTTTGTTACTATGTGGCTCGAATTGAAAGTTAGAAGTGTAGGAAATATTGCATTTCCCATAAATTGGAGATCTCTTTTTGGCTAGCTCTGTCACTCCTAGCCATTCTGTTTTACTGCCTCTGGACTTTTGTCCTTGCTGCTATAGAATCTGTGGCTATCTTCCTCAGTGCTACCACACTGCAGAGATGGAGGTCTCCTCTTTGCAAACACAGCCCGGCATTTGTGGTTGGTTCTTTAGATCTTCTTGTCTGTCTCTGTGGCCCTTACTTAGCACTGATCCTTCATTTGGGGATCATGGCCTAACAGGATTTTCCAGACTAGCTGAGGAATTACCATGTGTTTTAAAAAAAAGCATTTGCGCCTTAGCAAGAGGGATCTTTGCTTATCCACAGAACTAAACAGGGAAAAAAAATGAAGTGTTTCTCATCCCACTGAAATTGCATTGAATTAAAACTGAAATTTGGCTCAGGGATGGGCCTCTGCTACATATGGAAGGAGACAAGGGTGCTCAGATCAGGGAAGAAATGTCATTGCTGTCTCCAGCTTGGGCCTCCCAGCTTGAATTGAGACCTCAATTCAAATTTCTGCTATGCCACATGTTACCTGGGACAAGTCACGCACACGATCTGTGCCCCTTGCCTGTAAAATCAATACAATTCTTTGCTAATGCCTATACCAGGAGAGATCTGAGGGCATAGGGTTTGATGTTTGTGGGTATATGAGCCTCAGAGTCAGCAAAAATATTCCCACCAAGATAAAATTTCCTTCTACCACATTTACAATATTTCTGTGTCAACAGCGCATGGTATGTTTTACTGCTGTTTGCTTGTGCTTTTCCTTAAAACAGTTGTCCTTTCTCACATGCAAATGTGGCAGACTTCGTTTAACAACTGTAAAACCAATGTACATTATACATAGCATTGTTGGTTTAAGGTCAAGATTAATTTATTTGTAAAGTTGTGTTTACTTATGATCTGTGAGCTGATAAGCCTCATGCTTCCTCTTGCTTTCCCCTTCTCAATGGCGGTACCAGTCAACCTATTGGTTTTAATGACTGGATACGTGAATTTATCTTCCATCAGGAGTCCTGCACTTACTCTCTCCTGCAGAAAGTGGATACCTCTCAAGAATGTGAGAATAGTACTGAAATGCTGGGTTAAGAAACAAGGTTCCTGGACTGCTTTCATTCTAGTGCATCTCTTCTAGCTTTAAGTTGTTTATAGAGCAATGCTTGTCATAGGTATTAGCTAGTTTGTTGGGTTTTTTTAATAACATTACTGCTCCGAAATCGTGTTGTATTTCTCTCTGTTGATTGCCTAGCACTGAAGGATACAGAAAAAACAAGGCTGATAATCTTGCATTACTCTCATTATCTCTGTGGCCATCAGTGAGATGTAACCAGAAATCCTAGCTGAAGAATGACTGAGTAAAATAGTGAGGTAAATCTTCAAGAAAGTCCCCAAGATTTTCCCCCGCTTTAGGAAGAAAGAGGATACTGTTCATCAGCATTAGTGGAAAGAGGGCACAGAACTGGGCAGAGCACTGATATTCTTAGAATGTTTTTAGTAAGAAATAAACTGGTTGAGAAGACAAGAAGAGATTTCAACAGAGCAATGTCTGTTGGAGATACCTGTTCCCCACAGAAGCAAGGCACCTGTCATCCTGTACACAAACAACGTGAATAAGAAACACAATGTAATATGGGCCACAAATGACCTCAGTAATCAATATATGGATGGACTATCTACATAGAGTTTGCTGTTCTGAGTGGTTTCAGCACCACAGCATGTTGTTAGGGTCCTCTGAGTTCACAGATCATGCAAAGAGCTTCTTTGCTGTCCCTAGACACTGCCCAGGCTTAGACTGGTCGCTCCCTGCTGCGTTCCAAAGCAAGCTGCTTGCAAGAACTTCTATCCATACCTGGCATAGCACCTAGAAAACAGGGAGGGTCCTGCAATAGGAACAGCTGGGCGGTCACTGCTTATCTGAAAAGTTGAGAGAGAGAACACACATGTGCATTGGTTGGATTTTTGTTCTTTGGAGTCGAGCAACAAACACGTTCTCTGGCACTCAGCACCAAACCAGAAAGCTGACTGGGTTTTGTCTGTAACAAATTCTACAAGTCTCACTCCAGTACACCAACATCACAAATCGCGATGTGTCTGGTAACTTTTGTTCACATACAAAAACTGTTGCAGGGTGCCTGTCAAGAAAAATATTGCATGCTAACTCCACAACATGCAAGAAGAAAAAAATGGCTCAGTATTATTAAGAGAATTAAGACAATGTAATTTGATGGTCCTTTTCTTCCAACCTATCATCGAATACTTTCTCCAGATTACCTTTGAGGACATGGAGGAGCCAATATCTTGAACAGGACTCTGTGGTACTTCCCACAGTATTTTCAGCCAAGGTGAAATAGTTACTTCTCAGCACATAAAGGTTACAAAGAGCAGGCACGCAAAGCTAGGGCCCATCCTTAGCCACCCCACAGATGTAAATCAATTAGGTCAGGCAGCATAGGAACAGGACGTCGGAAGGGAGAGTGTGAACTCTCTCCATCTTCACTGCAACCAACACAAAAGGCAGCTTTGGTCTAGGATCAGGGTGTATTGCTTTGTTATCCTACTGAGCCTTTTTTCCCCCTTTAATAGAAAAATGCACATGCTCTGAAATACCTCCTCTGAAACACCGACAGTATCCCAAACCACAATGATGCTGTGAAATTGGCTTCATACATATTTGTGAGAGACCCAAAGGGGACATTTGGACTGTGTTGGTGTCAGTAAAGAAATTCCAAGTGCCCGTGCTCATGGGCTGACCTGTTCTGTTGGTTTACCAGTGATTAAGAGTCAAGGGCATGAGCCGTGTGGCTGTGGTCTTAGTCATCTCCTGTTCCAGGGCAGTGCACACATCAGCATTGCCAAATCTAACTTATTCATGATAGGCTGATTGTGGGCAGCTTTAATCAAACCTATGAATACCTGCGAGCACTTCAGCTCTTTTCTGCCATCCTGAAGAAAGGTCTGGTAGCCGATTTACCCAACCTACTGTGTTGAAAGCCAGCTAAGGCTGTCCCCTGTGAGTGGTGGTCTCACTGTGACATGCATTGCAATAACGCTGGCTTTCTCATACGGACTTCCTGAGCTAGCTCCCAACTCTGGAGTTTGGGTAGAAGATGTGGAGTAGCCACCCCAGCTTGGAGTTCAACCTCAACTCTCAAACCCACACGATAAGGCAACACAGTTAAGCAGCCAGAGTAGTTAGTTCAAGTATTGCAGGCTGTGTAGCCCTGGTAATAAGGGGAAGGCTTCTTCCCCTACCAGGGCTACACAGTTTACAGTATTTGAACCAATTAGATAAAGCTAAGCAAAAGGGGACTGTACTTGACTCCTTTGCTATCAAATTACTGTCCTAAGCATTTGGAAACCATGTCTGTCCCTGACACGTACAACCTCTGCAGAAAAGGGACCATATCTCCTCAGCTACAAGGATGAAGGAAGAAAATATATGATGCCTATTTTTTCCCCACTTACAGAGGACCTGAGCATATGGGTCTTCTACATGACGGAAAACTGAACAAGGAAGAAAACAGTTACCTAGGACCCTTTTCTAAGGGCCTACAGATGCTAGCCACTCTCCACAGAAACTCTGCTTTACATGTAACCCTTCCAACCACCACTCCTCTTCCACAAGAGCCTTCTTTCATCTTCAGCTGATGAACAAGCAAGCTGAATGATTGTTCAAAGTTCCTCTCTTTTAAAACCTAGATAGTTCAAACTAAGCATGCAAATTTTGTTGTGAGTGACAATCGCAATGACTCTAATAGGTTTCTCAGGGCAAGTGCTAAATATTCTTTCCAGGCTTGAAATTCCTTTTGAAGTACCTCCCATAACTGCCTTCCAGCCACACCTATTTCTTCAGTGCCTTTCAGAACCAAAGCTTCCTGTACATAATTGGCTTATTTTAATAATGTCCACCCCATGAGGTCATTTTGCAGAAAACTCATTGGAGTTATTCATGCATGTTCAGTTTGCTCAAGGACTGGTATCATAAATTCCCTCTCTATATAAGTTCTCTGGGAACATGAGCTTCTTACAGGTTGTCTCCTTACTGGAAGCCTCATAATTCTGCAAGAATGGTGAGTCCTTACATCTTACACAGTAAAAGACCATAGCATTTTGCTATAGATTTTAAAGGAGGTTCTGTTGGATTTATCTCAGTACTCAGAGATCTAAGCAGCTTGGAGAAAGTAGAAATTCTGTGGTTTGAGAGCTAAAGTCAGACAGAAAGGCACAGGCAGGTGAGAACCTTGAGTAAAGGATATCAGCATGTATATGGCAGGAGATGTCTAATAGGATTCCAGCTAAGGCTTTTTATTATAACCTGTTTTCACTTTCCTGTAATGTTTGGAGGTAATCTCTTTTCTGACAGAAAGCAGCTCTGTTGTGTCTCAACCTAGAACTGGCCTTCATTTTTGTGAAAAGTCTGGATAACATCTGAACATTTAGTTAAACTAAAAAACATTATCTTGATTTTTATTCATTTGCAGCTCTGTTGCAGTTCTGCGGGTTTTAACCTCTCCTCTGCAAAATTAATGCTAGTTCTTCCTCCTCCCACCTCTCAGATATGACTTCTTTTTATAACTCACCAGTTCTACTCTATCCGAAAAACCCACATATAAATACAATATATGTGTGTGTATACGTCACTGTTTATTCCTGGTCTACCTTTCCTCTCTTACCAAGATTTTAAATTCATCACAGCTAATTCCACCCTAGAGTTCTTGCACTTATTTCCTTCATATCGCCAATGAAAGCCCTTCAAACGTTTCAAACTAATATTGAAGGATAAGGGACTTGCTGAGGAACTTAAGCTGAACTTTCAGAAAAAAACTGCTAACAAAGGTCATAAAATAGAGAATTATCTAGGTTGGAAGGGCCACCTGCAGGTCATTTGGTCCAACCTCCTGCTCAAAGCAGGGCCAAATCTTGAGGGTTCAACTTTAGCTAAAGTTCTTCAGCTTGTTCCTAATCCTTCAATATTAGGGTGAAACATCCAGTAGGTTCTTCAGGCTTCAGTGAAGAAGTTTTTACAACTGTGAGTGAGGTTAGTGGCAGAGACAGTCGGTGACCAATCCTATGGAGAAAATAACGACAAGAAAAATGAATGGGGAGGGGAAAGGAATAGAACACACTCCTTTCACAAACAGTATCCGAGCCTATCATCTGTCCTGTATTAGGCAATGCTTGATTTTAACAGCTTGGAAAGGCAGACTTTCTTTTCCCCTCCTAAATGATGCTCTACCTCTGCTCCTTCTAAATGGCTCAGTATTCCTGACTGTGTGTTAAAGTGTCTAAACTGCAAAAGACAATGGATTTTTATTTGAAACCACAATGTATTTTCCTATTTCTAATGGTAGTATTTATCCTCAAGATATCTTAGTAGTAACTTAAGTATTCATATTAATTCTGCTTTCTTGTTCAGAAAATCATCTTGGCCTGCCTTCTTGTTCTTGCTATTAGTGTGACACTGTCCAATGCTGATTGCTTCATTCAGCCATTGAAGCTAGAAATACCTAATGATGAGATCACAGGTAAGAGGTCAACTGTCCTCAACTTGATAGACATCACCACAAGCACTGCCTGATTTGATTTGCCCATTAGGTGCAATTTATCACAATTTAGAAATAAGTGGAAAGAGAAACCACTGGGAAATGGGGGGGAAATGCGGTATGGAGAGCAGGGAATTTATAATATGTTATAAAAAAAGAAGAGTTTATTAGAGGAGCATCACACAGGCCAAATTACAAATGAATTTTGTCAAGGAAAATAGCATGGGCTTAGTTTATAAATCTGCATGAAGTAATAATTCATGTTTTCACTATGGCAGCATATTTAGAAATACAGAGAAGGGAGAAGAAGGATCTTTCTCTATGTGTGTGTGTGGTCAGTATAAAGCAGGAAACAGATTAGCAAATGTTCAGCACACTGGTCAGTTTACTCATTAGTTGTTTCCCTATCCCGAGGAAAGTTCTTAAGAACAGAATGGCTGCTTCCCTTGAGTCTGGGACTGCTCTTCCTGAACACAGCTAGTCTATCAGTCTGCAGATGAGTGGAGCTGCAGGAAAATAAGTGCTCAAAAGAAACATGCAATTATTTGGACGCAAGAAGAGCTAATGTGTGCCAGTATGCAAAATAAACTGAGTGCCCCAAAATAGAGCTTTTTCTGGGAAAGCTAGTGCTCCAACTAGAAAAAAGAGTTAACATTGCCAAAGAAACAGAACATATTTATGGGCAAAGACACAACATAGCACCCCCAAATCCTCCATTCTGTCTTGTCCTGCCCTCATAAAATTCTGCTTTCCAGATCACTCATTTAGGAAGTCTATTCATAAAATCATAGAATAGTTTGGGTTGGAAGGGATGTTTTAAGGTCATCTAGTCCAAACTCCCCTGCAGTGAGCTGGGACATCTTCAACTAGATCAGGTTGCTCAGAGCCCCGTCCAACCTGACCTTGAATGTTTCCAGGGATGGGGCATCTACCACCTCTCTGGGCAACCTGGGGGGGGGGGGCTGCCCCGACCCAGGTGCAGGACCTTGCACTTGGCCTTGTTGAATCTCATGAGGTTCACACGGGCCCACTTCTCGAGCTTGTCCAGGTCCCTCTGGATGGCATCCCATCCCTCAGGCATGTCGACCGCACCACTCAGCTTGGTGTCATCTGCAATTCCATGACTGTTGGACAGGAACTTTGTATCCAATATGTGCTTTCTTACTGCAGTTCAGGACTGGGAAGTTTTTCGGGCAGATTTAGTCTTGCTCTAAATGAGGAGTCAACAATAGTTGGTGTTAATGAGGGGGGAATTCAAAGCCTTTTCCTAATTCTGACCAGATCTGTGCCTAGCTGTCTTTCTCCTGGGTGCTCCGATTCCTGTACTTAAAGATGAGCTACTCCAGGAAACCCGATGCTGCCAAGAACCACAGGAAAAAGAGGGACCCAGGATACCCTTCTCCATGCGTTAGAATAGTAGCAGTCCTGCTCTGTTGGGGACCCTCAGTGTTTGCCAGATAGGGATGTTAATGTAAAAAGCCAACAAAGATCCCACCATTTTGTACAAGCAATAGAGTTGTTAGTGCGGTAGGTCTGACACTGAAGGCTGCTTGCACACTATGTTTTCAGGCTGCCATGACTCGAATGGAAAGCTGCATGAATTTGGTTCCCACTGGAGGAATGCAGACTGCTATGACTGCTCCTGTTCCAGGGACGGAATCAGCTGCTGTTCCAGGTGAGTTAAGAGCAGCAGTGGGGGTTTTCCTCCACTGCCATGATACAGCACAGAGCACTTCCCTTCACACAGGGGTCCCTAAGAAATGACCGTGACCTTTCTCTCACTCACTTTGTATCACAAAGTTGTGCATTAGCCCAACACCATCATTACTGAGCATGCAAGAAGTTCCTTTGACAAATATAGCTCATGTTTAAAAAACGATTCTTGATTTTAAAAAAGGACTTAATTCTTCTAGAGGCTAAAAATTCATGCGAGATACTAATTCAAGAGAGAATACGTAGGTAGTTACTTCTATGGCTCCTAATCCAGATCTTCCCAAAGCCACACATAGCCCCTCTTTACTCTGAGAAGCAGCTCAAGATACACTGGCCTGCTTGTACTTTTTACTATAGCCATACCCAACCGCTCATGCAATTCTTGTTCCATATTGTGGCTGGGAAAAAAAAATAATCAATGATATTTGAGTAGCAAATAAACACAACAAACATCCCTTGGGTGTAAATCAGACCAGTAAACAACTCTCCCCTAATCCTGCTTAAGCAGCAAGCTAAGTAACTTTTGAGCTGGGAGCTTCATGTGAGCTCCTTTTTCTGCTCCTGAACACCTCCTCAGTATAGCCTATTCATATTGAAAGTGTAGATACCATCTGAAATGGAAGCTGTTTACTTCTTGGTCTCATCACCTCTTTGTCTTTCTTTTCCCAATGACAGCTTTGCAACACCAGTTGGCTACGATGAAGAGAAGTGTGTAAGCATTTTCAACAAGGAGACCTGCACTTATAAAGTAGTGGAGAAAAATGATGACTCAAAAGAATGCCCAGTCCATGAGTGGGTGGGCTAACAGAGGAGGATTGTGGATTTGGAGGATAATTCCTCTTTTTGTTTTAAGGGTTCTCTCCCTCACAAATTCAAAAACAGTGAAAAATACAGCTGTTGAGTGAAATCTACTCATAAAACCTAACACATGATAAAACTAAATATCTACTCACAAAAGACTCTCTTGGTTTCTCTGCCTTCTGCTTCCCCATGAAGAAAGAACTGACTTGTTCCTTCCTTGAGAGCAGAAATTAAAGCCAACATTTTTAAGCATCCTCAGTAGCTGCTGATTTTAATTCTTCTCCAGTCACACATCAGTGCCAGGGAGTATACTCTGTTATCTGTGCACAGCTGTATCTTAAAGCTAAAATAAAATCAGATGAAGCATCAGAAATTCATGTGACTTATTTTCTTTGAGGATGGAAACCTAAAGAATTAACATTCCAAAAATCAATGGGAAAGAAATGAAAAGCAACTTAAAAATCTTTCTGAACACACTCCTTTCTAGGACAATATCTTATATGATGATCTTTTATCCTACATGGTTCCCTGGAGCCTGCCCAACCTATGGACTGCAAGAGCCACCAGCTACCCAGTCTAACCCAGCACTATACTTCCATTGCACCCACAGCACAGCAGACCCAGTCCTCAACCTGGGGTTTGGGTAAAAGAAAGGGTCCTTTATTCAGATTAACCTTTAAGAAATTCAAGTTATCAAATTGGCCAGTGGACAGGATTGTGGCTGGATGGAGAGACTGATCTGGACTGGGCTCAAACAGGGAAGAAGCTTGGCAAATCCACAAACAGTAACTGAGAGGGATACACGTGCTGGTCTAAGCTCTCCCTCGGGGCAGTGCTTCATAATCTTTATGGGTACATTTGTTCAGTTGCCTCTTTCCACAAGTGACTATGAGCATTTAGTTCCTCGTTTTGAATTATGGAATGAGCACACACCTTGTCAGCAGGGCCCAGTCTTGCTGTCTGCAGGGGCAAAGCAAACCTCAGCTTCTGTCAGCCTTGACCACATGTGCAACGAACGGTAAGCAACACAGGACCCTAGGAATTACATGCCAGTGATTTATTCCACCTCTGCTTCCCTTTCTCCTTCCCCAGGAAGACAGCCCTGCTGGTTACACTTTTTAAAAATTGCTTGCCACATGCCCTCGTGGAAGAGGGCCCACAGTAACATACTTCATACAACAGTTTACAAGCCAAAGCTGTTAATGTCACTGTGCAAATAGACAAAAGGTGTCACAAAGCCCATAAGGCACTTGCCTCAAGAGCACTAACAATTACATCTACTGGGAAAAAGTTTAGAGGGTTCTGCATGATTTGAGCTGCATCTGTCCCACTTTCTCCTTTCTAGGCTACCAAAAACCATGCAACACTGTTTGAGGTCTTGTGCTCCACATCAGATAAGACACAGGTGTCAACAGGCTGCCCAGGAGCACATGCAAGATTGGGCTGTAACTGAACCGATGTTCTTGTGAAGCCCAGGAAGATGCTGTACGTAGAAGTTCAGAGCTTAACACCCAAAATACCTTAGTTTGAAAAGAAAAGATACCTCTTCCCTTATTATCTTTATACAGTGAGATTTTGATCGTATACTTACAAGAGCTAGTTTGACAATTTGTCTGTTACAACACCCATTTATTTTGTAGTTTACCTACAAACTCACCCGAAACTGACTGCTGAATTAGTTTTTTTCTAACATCTACCCATATCTGGAAGCTACTGGGACCTGCTTGTGGTGTTTTTACGCAGATAGTCAATAATAGTGCATTGTGGAACAAGCTTCGTAACCAACTATTTAGGCACATGATTAGTATCTGTCTTGATCAGATGTCCTTAGTGATAAGGAACCATTTCATAGAATCAGTAAAAAATAAGATCCAGACTTCATAATTATATTCAGGAAGACTTCAAGCTAGGGAATACAAAGACTAAGAATATAACAGTAACCAAAAGGCAATGTGCTCTGATGACCTTTCTGAAGGCAGTGGTATAAACTTTGTCAGTATTTGCAGAGATAGTCTGAGTTCAGTACGGAGACACCTGCTTCTGAACCCCTGAATTATTCCTTTTCTGCAGTACCATAGCCTAAACTGAAAATGTTGATGAGTCTGGAATTGTGACCTGCATTTGACTGAAGCTGAGCTTTGTGTTTATGGTTTCTGTATACAAGAGGTCAAGTTCTGTGCAGTCTTCCAAAAGAGGAGACCATTTTTTTCCTTCCTGCCACCTTCCTCCCCTCCTCAGTTAATTCCTTTTCTGCATCACTAAAGTCTGCTAATTTCTTTTTCTCCAGTTGTTCTGAGGGCACCAGTCTTTGCTATTCTGCTGCAGACCATTACCTGACCTCTGAAACAGGATGTTTCGCTGTGTGCTTAAGTTTGCCAGTTTGAGTACCCGCAGACAAAGTAGAAGCAGATGAGGCATCCCATTATCTAATGTCTGAAAATTGTCCAAAGGCTGGGAGCATTACAACTCCTGAGTCATTTCAGATGGACTCTACCCAAGCACCAAGGCCATGAGAGGAAGTTTAAAAAACCAAGCCATTATTCTATCCTGTACATTATCCGTGTACAGACAGAATGCATGTTCTCAGACATGAAGCTTGCTGTTTACAGCAGTTAGAACGTTCAGATTCATAGCCTGTCCCAATATCCAATGAAGAAGAGCAAAAAAGTTTGCCTGCCAAGAGGAGGTGGGCATTTGTGAGGCCATCCTGATTTGCTATAGTGGAATGGAGTGTGGACAGATCATTTTGGAGCTTGTGTAATAGTCTTCAGCCTTTTTATACAGCATGAAGGAGATATTTTTCTCTGTGTTATTGCCATCCCAGCAGCAGATGCAATTTGAGCTCCACCCACAAAGAGGAGCCCATCTTCTTACTAGGTTTGTTCCTGCAGCAATAAGCTGCCTTTACCTGAGACTTCAGGTAATTGGTTTAATCCAGTGCATGTGCACTGGATTGGTTTAATCCAGTGCTCCCCAATTGGTTTAATCCAGTGCATGTGCAGGCTGTTAGTTTTCTACTTGCCTCTAGCTACCGCCTTCCTTATTCTAGCACCAAATTTTTGTTTTCCAGTTTCTGGTCCAACTCCTTGTTCTGGATGACCAGCCCCAGCCCCTTCAGCACCTGCCAAAGATGCTGAAGTTGGGTTAGAACCATTTTGGAACTTCACCCGCATACTTGCACATACAATCACAATTCACCTACCACAAAGCACATGTGTTTCTTGGGAAAACTGGCTGACAGCGTGACTGCAAGCAGAAATACTAGCTTGCCTCTTCTGTTTCTGCTTCCCACTCTCACCTGCTTGGAAAGCTCAAGACTTACCATTCACAAAACAATCTATCCACATTCAGCGGCATTGCTTGGGGGCACTGTCCCCATTAGCAGCTAGGCCATGAGCCTGTTTACCTCCCTTTGCATGCCTATGCTAAGAAAGCATATTTGAAGGTGTCTTCTAATGACACCACGCCTAGCACAGACTCCAGCACTTCAGGGTTGAGGCTAGAGGACTTGGAAATACTTTCTGAGAAACTACTGCACCATGGTGCATGGGAATTGTAGGGTTGCTATTTTTAGTTTCCACCAAAGGGGGTGACACAGGAAGGGTAGCAGCATGGATGGAGAGAGACTTTTTACCAGGGCCTGTAGTGGTAGGACAAGGAGTAAAGGTTTTAAACTAAAAGATGGTACATTCAGATTAGATACAAGGAAGACATTCTTTACTATGAGGGTGGTGAGACACTGGAACAAGTTGCCCAGAGAAGTTGTGGATGCCCCATCCCTGGAAATGTTCAAGGTCGGGTTGGACAGGTCTTTGAGCAACCTGATCTAGTGGAATACGTCCCTGCCCATGGCAGGGGGAGCAGACCTAGATGATCTTTAAAGGTCCCTTCCAACTCAAACCATTCTATGGATGTCTTTCTGTCTGCAAGAGACTTCCAGGTTCAGTCGTAAGGCATGTCCATAGAAACACCAAGTCTTAAGTAAGCTGTGACCAAAGATTTACTTTCCTTTTTAAGGCTGAGTAGACCTATGCACCCAAAGTCCAGAAAAGCCAGCCTTACCAGCACTCCTACATGATCCAGATCTATTTAACCACATTTTAAATCCACCCAAACACCTTTCTCCACCATCTGCCAAGTCTTGTTATGATATGTGGATCTACCCTGTCTGCTATGCAGAAATAGGAAAGGTTCATTTCATGTCTAATCCAAAAATCCTCCAGGAATCAATCTGCTCTTCTCTTGTCTGCTCCAAGTTTCAACATGGAAACAGATGATGTTACCTGTCGCATCTAGTTTTGGAACACCAGAAGCACAGCAGGGACTTGACTCCCTTCTGTAGCAAGGAGTCTAGCTGTGGGAGGATGACAAAACCTTCAAAATCAAGAAAGCAGAGACAGAGCGTACAAAGCTCTGCTTTGCTCTTCCCACTTTTGCTAAGTGACGTTTTGTCTTGACATTTTACTACTTCAACACATGCAGCTACAGTCCCATACAAAGAATACACCCCCCATCCCTGCCCCCCAAAGCCTTAGATCATAACACCACTAGCTCCACATAGTGGAAAGGAAACATTCACATAAGAGTTTCCTCAATTATCCTGACATGTTAAAGGTTTAAGAGACTCTGCAGAACCTTGGGAGACAACACAGCCTGGGCAGAGCAGAAGAGGTTGTGTGGTCTCTTCCCCCATTTCCCTCTCTCCACCTGGTAGCACACAGCTCTCCCACTAGCCCTGCTAGAAAGAGAGGCAATTTCGGATAGCTGGTTCTGGTCCCTTTACTCCCAGTAATTCTTTTCAAGGCAAGTCTTTTGAGTACTGGAAAGGTGTTCTTGCCCTAAAAATGAAGTCTAGTGCTTACCCTACCAACTACCAAGACTTTTAAACCAAACACCAGAACACACATGTCATAAATCTGATGGAAGTTTTCCTACCAAACAGTGTTTGTCACCTAAAACTTAATGGTTTAGTACCCATTCATGTTTTGTTTCCATTAAGATTTT